GACGTGAATATTGATCTGGGCCAGGCCGTGTACAGGGCCAGGCCGTGTACAGGACCAGGCCGTGCACACCATACTAATGAACCACAGGTGAGGTGGCCAGGTATGAGGGAGCTACCTTAATGGGATCACCTGAAGATTACTACCCCTACTTTACATCACCTTGAGATTAATCACCCTGACGTTAACCTAACCTAAGGTAACCTAATCTAACCTAAGCTAACCTAACCTTCCTCCTCCACCCCATCATTCTCCTCCTCCTTCTTCCCCTCCTTCTCTACCAGGAGGTGAGGGGCTGACCTTGAGTTAAGGACATAAGCGTCCTCCCTACAGTCTATCTTCCTTTTACTCATCAGGGGAAAATCACAAGGAAATAACTCCTTTTCTTCCCCCGAGAAATAATGGGAAGGAACGTCTCTCCTTCCGGGTAATCTAGGGAAAGAACGACTTTTTGTTGGGTAGAATTTAGGGATTTTTTTGTGTGTGGGAGTAAATTTTAGGGAAAGAAACATTGATTTGGGGAATATTTTTCAGGGAATAAAATTTTTCAGGACACAACCTTTTTTTTTTAGGGGGAGAAGGGGGAGACGGGGAGGGGGTGACGGGGAGGGGGTGACGGGGAGGTGACGGGAGGGGTGACGGGAGGGGATGGGAGGGGGGTGACGGGGAGGGGGAGACGGGCAGGGGGTGACGGGGAGGGGGAAGAGGGGGAAGGGGAGGCAGATACACACAAGGAACATTTTTTTTTCCCGGGAGTAACAGAATATAAGAAAGTGAGAGAAAGTATAAGCAAGTGTTAGTAAGTATTAGAAAGTGTAGGAAAGTTACAGAAAGTATTAAAAATGTTAGTGTAAAAAAGTATAAGTTTAAGAAAGTACAAGAAAGTCCTAAGAAGTGTTAGAAAGTATAAGAAAGTTATATAAAGTGTATGGAAGTCCTAAAAAAGTGTTAGAAAGTTTTAGAAAGTTATATAAAGTGTATGAAAGTCCAAGAAAGTGTAACAGTGTGTAGGAAAAGTGAATTTATGAGTCAGTTCCCAGAGGAGAGACGATTGAAGGTACGGAGAACTCCCTGGGCAGAGGAGGAGGAAGAGGAGAGGAGGAAGAAGAAGGGGATGAAAAAAAAGAAGACGAAAAAGGAGGAGGAGGAAGAGGACGAATAAGAAAATAGGGGAGAAGGAAGGAAGGAAGGAAGAAAGAGAGCAGGCGCCCCTCATCAACAGGAAGGAGATGTTATAAGACACAGGTTCCCGGAAACCTGGTCACGTGACGTCATTAATTATTTCTCAGGTAAACATCATAAGGGCCTCGAGTCTCTCAGAAGGTCTTACGCCATATTTGTTTTTCTCTCTAACTCGGTAACTGGCTAGAGTCTCAGTGTAATATCGACGCCATCTTGTCTACCCAACCTCATCTCCTTGTTACAGTTAGTTTTTTTTTTTTCCCGGGCAGTAGACGGAGATTGTTATGACGTGTGTTGTCTAGGATTACGTAATTGTTACGTCATAAGTATCGATGGTGACGTCTTGTGTTTTTGTTGAGATGTCATTGGATAAGACGGCATAGTTACGTCATTAGTTACGTCATATGTTTTGGTAGTGACGTCAAATGGGAGAACTTGACTTTGAGGATTAACTATGAGGTATTGTTGCCATGGTGACGAGTGTAATGTTTACCTCTCTCTCTCTCACTCTCTCTCGCTCTCACTCTCTCTCTTATTTTCTCTTCATCCTCTTCCTCTCTTTCACATCTCTCCTCCCCTCCTTTCTTCTCCTCTTTCACAATTCCTCGTTTCTCCTATTCTCTTCCACAATTTTCATTTCTCTCCCTTCCTTCTTCTCCTCCCCTCTCCCTCTCTTCCTCCTCTCCCACCTCCCCATTCCCTCTCTACATCTTTATTCCCCTTTTCCTACACTATCCTCCTTCTTCCCCCTCCATTACCTCTCTCTTCTCCCTTTTCTTCCACTTCCTCCTTTCCCCCCTCTCTTCCATCTCCCCTCCCCTCTTCCTCCCCTTCCCCCTTAACCTCTTCTCCCCACTCCTCCCACTCACATCTCCCACTCAACAGAAAATATAAGAAATAATAAGAAAAACAAAGACGAAAAAAGAAAAAAATAATAAACAATAAATAATAAAACTTGAGAGAGAGAGAGAGAGAGAGAGAGAGAGAGAGAGAGAGAGAGAGAGAGAGAGAGAGAGAGAGAGAGAGAGAGAGTTTACACTTGCTTATTGGTAGTAGGTGGGGGGGCAGACACCTGGACTACCAACAAGAGAGACAGCAGGAGACAGGAAAGACAGGAACAAGAGAGACAGGAACAAGAGAGACAGGAACAAGAGAGACAGAAACAAGAGAGACAGGAACAAGAGAGACAGAAACAAGAGAGACAGGAACAAGAGAGACAGGAACAAGAGACAGGAACAAGACAGACAGAAACAAGAGAGACAGGAACAAGAGAGACAGGAACAAGAGACAGGAACAAGACAGACAGAAACAAGAGAGACAGGAACAAGAGAGACAGGAACAAGAGACAGGAACAAGACAGACAGAAACAAGAGAGACAGGAACAGGAGAGACAGGAACAAGGGAGACAGCAACAAGACAGACAGAAACAAGAGAGACAGGAACAAGGGAGACAGGAACAAGAGAGACAGGAACAAGACAGACAGGAACAAGAGAGACAGGAACAAGACAGACAGAAACAAGAGAGACAGGAACAAGACAGACAGAAACAAGAGAGACAGGAACAAGACAGACAGAAACAAGAGAGACAGGAACAAGACAGACAGAAACAAGAGAGACAGGAACAAGACAGACAGAAACAAGAGAGACAGGAACAAGACAGACAGAAACAAAAGAGACAGGAACAAGACAGACAGAAACAAAGAGACAGGAACAAGGAGACAGGAACAAGAGAGACAGGAACAAGAGAGACAGGAACAAGAGACAGGAACAAGACAGACAGAAACAAGAGAGACAGGAACAAGACAGACAGAAACAAGAGAGACAGGAACAAGACAGACAGGAACAAGAGAGACAGGAACAAGAGAGACAGGAACAAGACAGACAGGAACAAGAGAGACAGGAACAAGACAGACAGAAACAAGAGATCAAAGGACAGACGGGACACAGTAGCCCTCAGCCTTAGTCATTACCCTCCCTCCTCTCTTTGTTCCTCCTCCTACTCTTTACTCACTTCCTCTTTGTTCCCCTTCTCCTCTGTTACTCTCTTATACCTCCTCTTGTAATCTTTATTCCACCTCCTCTTTTACTGTTTCTCTTACTTTGTTTTCCCCATTTTTTATCTTCTTCGTCTTTAAACTTACAGACAGACAGACAGACAGACAGACAGACCAGACAGACACACACACTCAGACAGACAGACAGACAGACAGACAGACAGACAGACAGACACAGTTTTAATTACTACTCTTTTCATTCCTTCTTCTTGCTTAACCTCTTGTGTTTTTCTTACTAACATCTACTTACTCAAACACCCCTCACCCCCCTCACCTCTCCCTCTCCCTCCCTCCCTCACCTCTCTCCCCCTCCCTCCCTCTCCTCCCCCTCCCCCCCTCACACTCCCTCCCTCCCTCACCTCTCCCTCCCTCCCCCCACCTCTTTCCTCCCTCCCTCCCACCTCTCCCTCCCTCCCTCCCTCCCTCCTCACCTCCCCTCTCCCTCCCTCCCTCACCCCCCTCCCTCTCCCTCACCCTCTCCCCCCCTCACATCCCTCACATCCTCCCTCACTCAGTCACCCTCCTCCTTCTCTCATTTCCCTCAATTCTTCCCCTTTCCCCTCTCCTTCTTCCTCACCCCTCTTCCCACTCCCTCCTCCCTCACTCCCTTCCTTCCCTCTTCCTTCCTCACTCCCTCCTCCCTCTCCCTCACCCTCCTTCTTCCTCACCTGCTCCTTTCTCCCCATTCTCCTTCCCTTCCCTCCTCCCCTCACCTTCCCCTTCCCCTCACCCTTCCTCTTTCCTTCTCACCCCTCCTCCTCTTCCTCACCCTCCTCCTCCTCCTTCTTCCTCCCTCCCTTCCTTCACCCCTGCCTCCCTCCTCACCCCTCCCTCCCCTCACCCCTTTCCACTTCCCTCACCCTTCCCCTCCCCCTCCTTCCCTCCTCCTCTTCACCCTCACTTTCCTTTCTTTCCCTTTCACCCCCCCTTCCCTTCCTCACCCCTCCTCCTCACCCTCCCCTTCCTCCTCCCTCCTCCTGCCTTCCACCTCTCCCTCACCCCTTCCCCTCCCCCCTCACCCCCTTCTTTCCACCCCTCACTTCCTCACCTTCCCTTCCCTCACCCTCTCCTTCCCTCACCCTTTCCCCTCTTTCCCTCACTCCTCTCCCCACTCCTTCCCCTCCTCCCCTTCACCCCTCCTCCCCTTCCTCTCACCCTCCTCCCACATTCCCTCCCCTTCCTTTCCCTCCCTTCCTCTCTTCCACTCCCCTCCCCTCCTCCTTTCCTCATTCTCCTCCTTCCCCTTCCTTCCCTCTGTCCTCCTCTCTTCCTCACCCTCCTCCTCCCCTTCACCCCTCCTCCACTCCTCACCCTTCCCCCTTCTCACCCTCCTCCCTTCCCTTCCTCCCCTTCCTTCATTCTCTTCCTCCTCCCCTTCACTGACCTCATCACCAGAGAGGTTTCCAAGTTGACGGCGAGGACTTGAGCAACAAAAATCTGACATCAGAATGTAAGGCCCATTGATCTGGCGGAGGAGGAAGAAGAAGAGGAGGAGGGAGGAGGAAGGAGGAGAGGAGGAGGAGGAGGAGGAGGAGGAAGAAGAAGAGGAGGAGGAGGAGGAAGAGGTGAAGGAGGACGAAGGAGGAGGAGGAGGAATAAGAGGAGAGGGAAGAGGAGGAGGAGAAGGAGGAGGAGGAAGAGGAAAAGGAGGAAGGAGAAGGAGGAGGAAAAGGAGGAAGGAGAAGGAGGAGGAAGAGGAGGAGGAAGAAAAGGGGGACGAAGGAGGAGGAGTAGAAAGAGGAAGAAGGAAATTAGGAAAAGGAGGAGGAAAGAAAGGAAGAGAAGAAGGAGGAAAAGAAGAGGAGGAAGATGAGAAGGTGGAAGGAAGATAAAAAGAATAATAAGAGGAGAAATAATAAGGAAAAGGGGAAGAGGAAGAGGATTAGGGGAAAAAATTATAACATATACTGTAAATGGGTAATAGGTTATGCATAAGGGTTAAGGGAGGTAAGGGAGTAAGGGGTAAGGGAGTAATGACTAAGGGATAGGGGAGTAAGGGGTAAGGGAGTAATGACTATGGATAGGGACTAAGGGAATGACTAAGGGGTAAGGAAGTAAGGGTAAGAATGTAAGGGGAATGAGCAATGACTAAGGAGTAAGGGGTAAGGAATGTGACTAAGGTAAGGGGAATAATGACTAAGGGTATAGGGAGTAATAATGACTGGAAGTAATGACTAAGGGGCAAGGGATAGGGGAGTAAGGGAGTAAGGGAGTAATGACTAAGGAGTAGAGGAGTAAGGGAGTAATGAAAGGGATAAGGGAGGATAGGGGTAAGGGGTAAGGTGAGTAAATGACATAGGGGTAAGTAAGGGAGTAATGAGGGAGTGGATGACTAAGGGGTAAGTAAGGAGTAATGACTAAGGAGTAAGGGAGTAAGGGAGTAAGGGAGTAAGGTAAGGGGTAAGGGGGGTAAGGGAGTAAGGGAGTAAGGAATAAGAGAGTAAGGGAGCAAGGAGCCCTGAGCCAATATCACATAATTACTGACAGGTTCAAAGTCTGTGTGTGTGTGTGTGTGTGATGGTAGTTAGAGAGCTTGTTAATATTCTGAGTAAGGCAAAGAATGAAGGGAAAGAGTGGATGGAGGAAGGAAGGAAGGAAGGAAGGTAGGTGGAGGGCAGGAAGGAGACAAAGAAGGAAGGGAACAAGGAAGGGAGGAGGGGAAATAAGGAGGTGTTGGAGGGAGGGGGAAGAAGGAGGGGAGGAAAGAGGGAAGGAAGAACGCTGAGAAGGCTGAGGGAGACAGGAAAGAAGGAGGATTACATTACCGGAACAGATAAGCCGGAGTAAGGGCCACTGTCCATAAAAGGGAGGGGAGGGAGGAGGGAAGGGAGGGAGGGGGGAGGGGAGGGGGAGGGGAGGGAGGGAGGGAGGGAGGGAGGGGAGGGAGGGAGGGGAGGGGGAGGGGGGAGGGGGGAGGGAGGGGGGAGGGGGGAGGGAGGGAGGAAGGGGAGGGGGGAGGGGAGAGGAGGGAAGGGGGGAGGGAGGGGGGAGGGAGGGAGGGGAAGGGGGGAGGGAGGAGGGGAGGGGAGGGAGGGAGGGAGGAGGGAGGGGGGGAGGGAGGGAGGGAGGGGGGAAGGGAGGGAGAGAGAAAGGAGGATCAAGTCTACTACTGTACCCTCCCTCCCCTCCATCCTGTGTGTGTCTGTATGGAATCACATTAGACAGACAGACAAGACACAGACACAGACACAGACACACACACCATATATATGAACACAGAGAGAGAGAGAGAGAGAGAGAGAGAGAGTGTGTGTGTGTGTGTCTGAGGGCTAAAGAGACATAAGCAGCAGCAGTAATCAATAAACTATGCGTGTTGTGATGACTGGCTGAGGAGGAGTCACCCAACAGCTCTCTCTTACTCGAGTCCTCCTTAAACCATCACTGAGATGACCTCAAGGAGCAGCTCTCTGGTTGACTGACGTGTAGGTGTCAAGGACCAACCCAATGACTGACGTGTAGAGGAACAGCTTACTCATTGGCTTAGTGGCTTGAGAGAGAGAGAGAGAGAGAGAGAAGTAAACATGTACAATCAGTCAATCCATTAACTCTCTCTCTCTCTCCCTCTTAGCACCAACGTGTACAGTATGCATTCGTGTCTACATATGAAAAGTCTGTCTGTCTGTCTGTCTGTTTGTCTTTAGTCACCGTCATCATCACCACCATCATCATCATCATCACCCAGTCGTCACCACTCAGTCATCACCATCATCACCCAGTCATCACTCAGCATCTTTCGTCGCCTCAATACAGAATAAGTCCTCAGGTCATTACCATATGCAGGTCATCTCTCTAAAATACCGAGGGAATTAATTAAAGGGGTAACACGGTGGGGGGAGGAGAGGGGAGGAAAGAAGGATGGTGAGAGGTAGAGGAGAACAGGAAGAAAGAGAGGAGAGGAGGAGGAGGAGGAGGAGGAGGAGGAGGAGGAGGAGGAAATATAGATCGAGAGAGGAAACGAGGGGAGGGAGAGAGAGAGAGAGAGAGAGAGAGAGAGGAGAGAGAGAGAGAGAGAGAGAGAGAGGTACATTTGCACAGGTACACCAGAGAGAGAGACCAGGTGGATCAAATCACTAACATGAAATAAATAAATTAAACAACAACAACAACAACAACAATAACAATAACAATAATAATAATAGTAATAATAATAATTATAATTATAATAATAATAATAATAATAATAATAATAATAATAATAATAATAATAATAACAATAATAATAATAATAATAATATTAATAATAATAATAATAATAATAATATTAATAATAATAATAATAATATTAATAATAATAATAATAATAATAATAATAATAATAATAATAATAATAATAATAATATTAATAATAATAATAATAATAATAATAATAATAATAATAATAATAATAATAATAATAATAATAATAACAACAATAATAATAATAATAATAAACACTGAATAAAAGAAGAAAAAAAACCACGAATATGAAGTTAAAATAGCGTGTTTATAAAGCAGTAACTCTTACAACCTAATCACCTCCACCTAATCACCTACGAGCGGTTATTAGTTTACGAGCTAGATCTTACACCCAATCACCCGCACCTAATCACCTACGAGTGCTTGTTAGCCACTAGCCATTATCCTGGTCTGCTGAAGAAGAAGAAAAAGAAAAAAAAAGCCTTTGTTTACGTTCGTCTAGGTGGAGTCGGATCTCTCAAACTATTATCTGGGTCACGCGAACGATGGCTCAGGGAAGTGACGTCACAGGGGGAGAAAATATCGAATAAATAAGAAAATAAGAGAAAAATAAACACAGAGAAATTAAATAAATAGAAAAAATAGAGAAAGAAAATAAAAATAAAAATTAAATAAGAGAAAAAATAATTAAATTAGAGAATAATAAATAATAAAGTTAATACGTAAGTATATG